TATAAAATTCACAAGTGGATAATCAAAAATTGACTGTGTGCCCTAAAATGCAGTATGAATTTTACTCTGTAACCTGAAAGAGGGGTTGACTAATAAATCGTCTGGAACCTTTCAGGACAGCGAATCACCACACTGATAGGATGAGCTGTCAAAGCTCAGAAATCTTTGTGCTCCATAGCCTCTATAAAAAACTGAAAAAGATGAGATGTCTGTTCAGCATTTCCCTAAAGTCCGTGGCTAATAACAAAAGTCCCAGATACATCAAAACCAGTAATAATTTGCCTTCTTCTTCACTCGCGTATTTTGGTTAAGATGATAATGGAATATTCCCTACATTATACACATTAAAATGTCAAAGTCCCTCAAAGTGTACTATTTGAGAGAAACATCACATATGCTGACACCTTACTTTTGATCAATTTCCTTCATCTATTTTAGTATACTATAAATATTCTAATCTAAATCTATTTAAGTCACCAGGGAGAACTAAAATTAAACCCAAGTAAATGTGTCATGATTTTGGCTACATGATTTGGAACATACTTTTTTGGGAGCCGGGTCGAAGTGGGGGATGGGGGAGGGGAGGAGAGGAGAAATTTTTTTTTCCCCACTAGCTCCAGTACCTAAATTATCTCCACACTGAACTGACAGAACTCCTAATTCATTAGCAAAATTCTAGAGAGAGATAAATTCTTTACTCTGTGCCCTAGTTTTGTAATCTCTTGCTCCCATCTCTCAATAAAACTTTCATTTGAGACTTGCAACGAAATGAGTGAGTTTTATTTAACTGCAGTATTTTGCAGCTGAAACAACACTAGGCATGTTCATTTGTTTTTTTTTTCTTCCTCTTGCAGTACAGAAATTTATATACCTACAAGGCAATAAAACAAAATCTTAAATTTAATCATAAGTACTTCAAGCAGTGGCAAACTGATAAATTATTTACAAAGTTGTTCAATGAGGTTGGGCAAGGAAATAATATGCCAGATTCGGAGTTTGAGAACATTCAGAAAGGAATATGATCTACTTGGTTTCTTTAATTTTCTTTATAAATCAAAATTATCTTATAATGAAAATTTATTAAAAGACATTAGTTAAAGCTTAAAAAATAAGAACACAAGATTAGATCTTTGGCACCTGTACAGTAATAAATCTTCAAGCTTCTCTTTCTGGAGTTAGGACAGTCAATGTTCACCGGTCAGTTTTCTGCTTATCTATAAATTAAGATGCCCTTAAAAGTATAGGTATTTCCTAATTCATACTCACCTACTATAAATTTGAGAGCAAGCAACAATTTGAACATGACTAGACTGATCTTATTTCAGATTGAGTAACCCTTTGTGAATTTTTAAAATAAATAATACATAAAGACAAAACTAGCCCTATTAATATTTATATCAAAGTGTACTAATTTGGGAGAACTATCAGACATAGGCTGACACTTTACATTTGATTAATTATCTTCACCCATTTTATTATACCATAAATATTTTAATCTAAATTTATTTTTAAGTAAAGGAGATCTAAAATTAAATCCAAGTAAGTGTAACATGATTTTGGCTTCTAGATTTGGAACATAATGCAGGGTGGGGGTGGGGGGAGACAGGAGGTAAAGTGTAGCAGAGAAAGAGATTTTTTTTTCCTACTACCTCTAGCACCTAAATTACTTCTATACTAAACTGCCAGAACTCCTAATTCATTAAGAAAATTCTTGAGAGAGATAAATTCAAAAGGAAATTCAATAACATCCCCATTGTTTTATTGCAGATGGCACATCAACTTCTCTTTATTACTGCAGAAAACTCAAGAGCTCTGTCGAGTGCAATAAAATGGTACGTGTTTAGTTTTGCAATGATTCTAAGGGCAGTGATTTATGGTTTAGAACCAGGCACCTTGCACACAAGCATCTGAGCTTGGTAACTGCCTCATGTTTAGTGCAAACTCTGCAAGGCAGCAGGAGGTCTGCCCACACACTAAGTACCTGCTGCTGTTGGAGGCCAGTCCTCTCACTCTGCTTTACTGTAACTAAACTCAATTATTAAGCAGCAAAGATGTACTTTCTTATGCACCAAGGTGTTTGGCTATTAATACAGGGGAGATAAAGCTTTCATCATCAGACAGAATCATACAGTATTAATTATCTTCACTGTGTCTTTTTAAATGAAAAACATCTAGTATAATTTGAAGCAGGAACATTTAAAGTATTTTTACAACTGAAAACAAGTCTAATGGTCGTGATCATCAGGGAGAAAATATAATATTTTCACTGACATGGTTTTGCAATGAAGGTGAAAGACTGTACTCTGGTATGTAAGCACCTGTTCCTAACTTCTTTACAAGATTCTCCCACAAAATAGATCTCAGATTGCTCATTATTAGTTGATCATGTAATCCCACTTTTGTATTAATACCTTTTTCCATATTGTACCCTATACTTGAAATGGCATCTATCATATCAGAGAACAAAATGGGCTTTTCTGTACAAAGACAGTTTGGCTTGTTTGGCTTTTTTTTTTTTTTTTTTCAGCTAAGAATCATTTAATCAGCTTCTGAAATCTCCACTGTCCACGTGAAAACTTAATAGTTAACATTTAGGTTCACTATCCTAAAATACCCATTTTACTGTACATACTATAAATTCTTACTACTATTTCTGTATCCTTCTGTCTTTATGATCTCTAAATAGTCACCGATTTCAAATTGTTTCTCTTATAAGAGCTTTCCTTGTTGCTATGGAAGAAAGCATTCAGAGAAAGGGTTTGTACAAGGAATTGTTTAGACAGCTACACTGACTATGCACCAACATAAACATACTTACTTACTTATCTGATTAAATCAATATTAAATCTATGGCACTACATCAACTTTTAGCACCCCATGAACAAAAATCCTAAAGAACAAAAGAAAGAATTTTGGAATGTTGAACAAACATACACCAACTGATTGTATTTTCTTATAACAATAGTAATTAAAAAAACCAGTTAGCAAAACTGTTTAGAATCATATTTTCTTCTAAAAATAGTAATTAAAAAGTCAATTAGCAAAAATGTTGAGAATCATTCTCTAGAGGACATGATCAGGAGATCTAAATTTACGGTTTCAAAAGATTTTTTAAAGTTTTCTTCCAGGATAAAAACTGCAGTATAGAGGCATATTACAATTACAAAATCAGATGCAAGAGAAGAATAAAAAGTGTCTCTTAAGGTACTCCTTTAAATGTAACTGTAAATGTTAAAATACACTAAAACATCAATAATTTGAAGTCTTTATTATTATTATTTCATCTGTATATAGACAAGACCACTAGTGCTTTTAAACTTAAAATGTTTGTCTAGCCCCACTTGTGCTTATATGACTTATGAGCCTCAGTCAAAATTTCTTTGTACCTTAAAAGTTCTCAAAAAAATCTCTTACCATAGATAATAGGTTTTCCTACTGTTCCTAGAGAAATAATTCATTAAAATACTTCTATTCACTTCACTCTATACACCCCCACATTGTTCACATCAACTGTTAAGAATACCATAGTCTAGACAAGTACATTATACATGATCCTGAGTTTCTACACAAGGCATACATTACAGACAAAAAAATTTAGTACTAAAAAAGGGCATGCAAACTGCTTTCAGAAAAACTAAAATCCATTATTATTGACTTAATAAATGACATGCAAAATACAAGATATGAGGATACTTACTAACCAATTAGTCCATTATCACTTTTGAGCAACAGCAGAAAAGATTTAAGGGCAATGTGAGGAGGAAAAAAAAGGCCAAATTCATCTCTGACATCACTTTCCTTAGCAGTAAATAAAAAACAAATGGGATTTCCTAAAATCTAGGACACACTCATAAACAAATCAAAATCTGAAGCAGGCAGATTTGTAAACTTTTGTAAAATGTTGTTTCCCTAAAGACTCATAGAACAAGAAAATGCAGAGAATCTTTATCAGTGACATGAGAAAAGCAGTAAATGTCACGAAAGGCATACACTTAATGGTTGCTTAAATTGCTCACTTCATAAACTCTCATTGGAAAAAGTTACAACACAAAGTGTAGTGGGAAAACAAACCACTGAAATTGGGCTCAGGAAAACAGGCTTCTGGTTGAAGTTGCTCTTGACTAGTTTTGTGAACTATGTGAATCACTTCATATCCCCAAACCTCGACTTCTTCACTTCAAAATGAGAACTGCTAAGGTTCCTTCTAAAGAGCTAAGATGCTCTTGATGATAAGTATGAGAAGGTACTGCTAAATATAATAGTACATCCATAAAGCCTAAAGCTTTGAAATCTTCCATCAAATCTTTAAACCAGTTAATGAGAAAGGTTATGTAAGGGGGAAAGGCTTCCAGATTCTTGCAAAGAATTTAAGATCTTAAAGATAACATGACAGAAGTATCATATTTCATAACATTGATCTAAAAGAACACAAACACTATAAACCATAGAAAACATGGTAATTGGTAAATGAACCTTTCAAAAAACTTTCCCTTTGAACCAAAGAGAAAGCATCTAAGAGGTGCCAACTATACGCTAGGCATTTCTTCACCTCCCCCCACAAAACTGTTTGAAAAAAAAAAATACTGCAAATGATAACCAGGAGTAATCTAGCTGGCTTAGACTACAAAAAAATACCAAAAGTACATTCCCTATGGAAAAATGCAACAATGATTTAGGGTAAACACAGAACACCATAGCAAAGTTTCTTTATGGAAAATTTTAAAAACTTAAAAGGAAAATGCATCAGTGCAACAACCAACATACCCTGGGTTAAAAGCAAGTTAAATCACTGGTATGGTTTATGATTATCAAGACAGACAAGATACAAGACCCAGTAAAAACACAGTTGTCCCATGAATAGTTAGACAAGTAATAAGTGATCACATTTTGCAACAGGTAAATGAGGTCTATAATATTCTCATTTAGATTAATTATTAGTCAGGACACTAAAATCCACACTATGGAAAAATGGAAGAACAAAAAAAAAAATCAAAGCTTACCCTTGGCTGCCAATTTTCATACTGTTTCTGTAAATTTGCACCAATAGTTTCCAAAGCTTTTTGAGGACCCATTGACAAAGGATCTAAGGAAAAAATGGGAAAAAAGAAGTCATTACATGAATTGTATTTCTCAAGGGCATCTTTCTAATTATATAATTCATTTCTAAGCTACTTTTGTCTACTTTTGCACTAACACATATTATTCTATTTCCATTATAGTTGGCCAGATTTTTAGAGCTGCTTAATTAGTCCAAACTAGGCTCAAATGTCCAAAAATTAGTCTCCTCCCTAAAATGTACTCCGCAATAGTTTTATTTTGAAGAAATCATGTTATTGGGGCAGTTACGTGGCACAGTGGATAGAGCACTGGCTCTGGAGTCAGGAGGACCTGAGTTCAAATCCAACCTCAGACACATAACACTCACTAGCTGTGTGACTCTGGGCAAGTTACTTAACCCCATCTGTCTCGAAAAGAAAAGAAAAGAAAAGAAAAGAAAAGAAAAGAAAAGAAAAGAAAAAAGAAAAGAAGTCATGTTATCTTGGTAACAGAAAAATCTACACACAAAAATGGGCTTTGCTAAGACCTGTGCATCGAGCCCCTGTCCCTCAAACTCACATCACAAAATGACATTTCAAAGTGGATGTTCTGGAGACATCTCAAACCCAACATGTCCAAAACTGAACTCATTGTCTCTCCCCTTCCCCCCAACTCAGAACTCTTCCAAACTTCCCTGTTATTGTGAAGGTAAAAACATTCTTCCAAGCTCCTGTGTTAACTCCTCACTCTCTCTCTCACCCAAACAGCCAATCGGTTGCTAAATCTCGCTACATCTGCCTGCACAATCTGAGTGTCTCTCTATTCACAGAGCTGCCAATTTATTTCAATTTTATGTCTTACTTAGTTATTGCAACTGCTTAAAGGAAAGTCTGACCATAACACTCCCCTACTCAATAAATTCTAGTGACTCTCTTGTCTCTAAGACCAAATATAAACCTCTATTTAGTTTTCAAAGCCCTCAAAGCCCTTCACAAACTGGCCCCATCTACTCCCCCCTCCCACACTCTGCAATCTAGGCTAAACTTGCATTCTCTCCATACCTCATACACAAGACTCCATTTTCCCTCTCCATACATTCATACTGTCCATCCTCCATGCCTGCAAAGCACTCCCTCCTCACTTCCAAGCAAAGAATCCCTCTCTTCCTTTCAAGACACAGTTCACTCATCCTTCCAACTGCTAATGTCCTCCCTCCTAAGTTATCTTGTCATTAAATACTTTATATTTATTTCTATTTATTCTCTTTATAGTTATTTGCACGTATTTATATTTCTACTTGTCTCACCTGTTAAGATGTTGAGCTCCTTGAGAGCAGAATATTTCATTCATTGTATTTTTATCCCCAGCACCTCGAACAGTGTCTGTACATAGTAGGTGCTATTCTTGTTGATGCTGATTGATTGACAGATAAAATAAGGGTTGTGGCTCTAACACACGCATATGATGTGTAACAGAATAAATGGCACTTTTTCAAGGAAACATACCACAACTTGTATATCCAGGTGAATATTTTTCTTTAAAAATCCTCACAGTGGGACGACCAGTGATTCTGCTACCGTTAAAAAAACAATTACTGAACACTTTTGGTAGTTTCATAGCCAATTTATTTGTGAGATAATAGTACTTCAAGCATTCTTATTCTCATTCCATACATGAGGAAACTGAGGCTTGAAGAGAGTTTAAAATATTACCCCATGGTCATACAAGTATTAAGTGTCAAAGGCAATATTCCAATCCAGGTTATTTAGCAATCATTTCCTTTAGGCCTTCTCTTCTCTAGGTTCTATATCCCCAGTTCCTATATCCCCAGACCATATGAAATGGTCTACAGATACTTAAATGCCTAGGTAAAGGTGCTTTCCCCATTTCCCACAAGCTATACTTTTTTTAGACTTCTTTGGCCCTCTCCAGAATGTCAATCTTCCCCAGGAAACTCATCATTGAGAAATCTCATTATGCTGCAAGACTGAATCTGCCTGGTTCTTTCACCTCATCAGCACCCTCTGGTCATAGGCTCCATAATCTCTGTTTAAGGAGGGGGCTCAGCACAGTTTTCTCCCCCTTTTCCACCAGCTACACTGCTGTGGGGACATCATGCCGCGTGTCAGGCATTTTTCCATTACTTTCCCCTCCCCTTTTCAGCTTCCTCTGTGTGTTGTTTTCCTCCATTAGACTGTAAGCTCTTTGACCGTCTTGGTTTTTATTTGTGTCCCCAGAATTTAGCACAGTACCTGGCACATACTAGGCACTCAATAATAAATATTTGCTGACTGACTGAATAAAGAGATTATATTTTTTCCCAAAGAGCCTTCTCTGAACATTGAATTTCCTGAGTAGGGGAAGAACACAGTCAAACCCATGATTTAGGAAAACTATTTTGAGTTGCTGCATGAAGAATTAAAATGGAGAGAAAAAGAAAAGTCAGTAAGAAAGATTTCATAATAGTTCAGGTCAGAAATGAAGACCTGAACTGAGGTGGTGATAGTGAAGAAGTGGACAGTTGAGAGAAATTGCATGGAGGTGGAACCAATAGGACCTGGTAACTGACTATGTGCGGGACAGAGGGGAGTGAAAGGCAGGGAGTGATCAGAACACGAAAAAAGTCCAAGAGGACTGAGATTTCAAGCCTAGGTGACTGGAAGGATGATGGTAGTACCAACAAGAAAGAGATTAGAAAAGGGAGATAGTTCAGGCGACAAGATAATGAATTTAGTTTAGACAAGTGTAATGTGAGATGCTAAAGGTTTTAAATAGAGATTCAAGACTGGGGTTCAAAGCAGAGATTAAAGTTAGGAAGATCTTTAAGAAACCAGAGAGTATTCACAAGATGGTGAAGGGTCTCAACTTAATGCTTTATGGAACCTACCAAAGTTGGGGATGTGGAAAGAAGACTGGGACAGTGAGAGGACAGAGGGACACTATCTGCATCCAAGAATAAGTCCTACTGTGTTCTGCCTTGGTCAGACTATATCTAAAATACTGTGGTCAGTTCTGAGAACTAAAGTTTGGAAGAATGTTTATAAGCTTATGAACATCCAGAGGAGGTTAATAAGAACAGTGAAGAGGCTAAAAGATGGCCATGCCATCATGCCATGATGCCCAGCTGAAAAAACTGTAAACATTTAGCCTGCAGAAGACTCGGGGGGGAAGACAACAACCTTTTCCAAGTACTAGAAAAGCTCTCATGTAGAAGAATTATTCTGCTTGACTTACACAGTAGAACAGAAGTAATTGGTAGAAGTAGCAAAACAGCAAATTTAGGCTAGATATAAAAAATATATATATTTGGAGTATCCAAAAGTGGAATGGTTCAACTCAGGAGGAAGTAGGCTTCCTGTAACTCTGAGGATCTTTAAACAAAGGCTAGATAAGCATTTCTCCTGTATGTCGTAGAGGAGATTGTTCTTCAGGTATTGTCTGTCAATAAGCATTTTTTAAGGACCTACTGTATCCCAGGCACTGTGCTAAATACTAGGGATATAAAGAAAGGATGGACTACCACTAACATCCATTACAACTCTAAAATCTTGTGATTCTGTGATCTACTCATCATCCTGATCAGCTTCCTCTGGCTATGCAACAGTTTATCAAAGTCATTTCTAAAATGTGGTATCCAGAACTAAACACAATATTTCAAATATGGTCTGACCAGGGAAGGATAGTGAGACCGTCACTACTTCCATTATGGATAACTTTGCTTCTCAACACAGTCTAAGACCATATAGTGTATTTTTCTATTATCACTCTGTTAGCTTATATTGAATTTATCATCCACTGACGGCCCTAGATATTTTCTTTGAGGCCAGTCATTCAGTAATATAACAGTACTATCATTTTGCCCACATCATTCCATCTTATCCACAAGGATAGTAGAAGGGCCACTTTTAAATGCTTTCCTAACAATTAGCTATACTAGATTCATAGCATTCCTATAACCTACCAGATAAGTAACCTTATCCTAAAGAAATGAAAGTCCAGGGGAACACACAGTCCCCCCACAAAGGTACTAGGGGAAATGTTTGTACTTCATTATCTTCAAAGTAAATATGCCTCTGCTTAATAATAATGACAATAAATAGTGTTGACGATGGCAGTAGTGATGATGACAATGATGATGATGACGATGATGATGATGATGATGATGATGGCAATGAGGAAGATGACAACATGAAGTTAATCTGGATGATTTATTCTGGACAGAGCCAGAATAGGGCTCTTAACAGGCTAAAAGAGATAGTTCACAAACTATCTCTGATACTAGGCTCTAGTCTTACCCACAAGAAGCAAGTACTAAATGGCAAAATACAGACAATCACCCAGGACCGACATTAAACCTAGTACTCTTTTTACTATACCAGAGCCTCTCATGAGTCCAACATCTTGTGGAGGGAAAGAGCAAGGGAAAAGCTGGAAAAACTAGATTTTCCTAAATCTAGGGTAATTAAATTTATTAAAATCTAAAACTCAAGAAATTCAAAAGCATTATTTTTTCTTCAACAGAAAAAAATGTTTTGGTAAGACTGGCACTCCTTAGACAAATTATTAGCTTCAAAAAAATCTTGTCAAAGCCTCAAAAAACTTTTAATGACTAAAATAAAGCTTTCTGTTATATGATGAACCAATTGAGACCATTAAAACTCAGAAAGCTATGAGAAGGGACTGAATTTGGAAAGATAAGAATAAAGGTCCATTAAAGTACATGAACATTAAGTGAGTAATCCAATTTTAAAAACATGAATCAATCAATGAATTTGCCATCTTTCCAAAATGAAGTTGATGCTATCCATAAATAACATAACAGCTGACAATTATAAAGCACTATGGTATTGCAAAATGTTTTTATATCTCATTTGATCTTTTCAATAACCCAAGATAAGCATTACATATATTATTATCCCCATTTTATTTATTTAAGGAATATGAGGCTCAGAGGCCAGGTGACTTCCTCAATATTCTACAACTAGTAATTGTCAGAAGCAGTATTTGAAGTTAGGTCTCACCTAACTCAAGTACAGGTCTCCTCTA